ATGAAAACATTAGCGTTGGCTTTCAAACGTAGTGCAAGTCTTGAATCACACGTCTGAGAGGGCCTGTCTTCCATCTCAGGAGCAGCGCGCGATCAGCTCTGTCAGGACTCGGCGAGGAGAGGCTGGTAGCTGGCTCTGTTTCCTCCAGACGTGACTCCTGCAGTGTCCTTGCAAATCACAGCTGCCACAGCTCTGACTCCCCAGCAAACAAACACAGACCCTCATCCTGAAGTCCCAGGGTGGGCTTCCTGTTGAATCTCACGTAGACTTCAAGACATTGCTCCTGACGTTTAAGACCACGCAGGGAATCTCCTCCCCTTATATTTCTGACTTGATGACCCCCGTAGCCTCCCTCCTAGATCAGGACTTCTGAGTCTCTGTCAGCTTTCGGATCTCGTCATAAAGCTCTCCTATTTAAACTGGCTTTCCAACACAAAAAAATGATGCATTGATGTATTTCGTCCGGCCGTGTTTGATATTTTTGCTGTATTTTAAGTGCACTGTGATTTTAGATAATGCTACTTAATGACGCCAAAATAAGGGTTCTTCTTATCATTACTGATTTGTTGCAGTAGATAAAACAAGAAGACACATTTAGGCATCTGTGACATGTTACATTTTTGAATCCATCACAGACAAAGCACAAACTCGCTGGGGTAGCCCAGTAGGAAGGCAAATGTTTTACCCAAATTTATTACCATATGCAAATAAGGAATCGAAAAAGTATGGGTGCTTTTCCCCAACAACATTTCACCACTGTATTTTGTTTTATGAAGTTTTAAATACTAATCTAATACAAAGGGGTCTGTGGCATATAACGGAAAGTATTATCATACATTGAAGAAGTTCAAACAGGGAGCTGCATCAGCATCTGCAGGCTGTAGGGGAACAGGTGAAGGTTTATTCCATGCTGAACAGAAAAACGACCTGGGAGTCGGGGACGCCGAGGGGCGGTTTGAACCCTAACACCGCCCGCAGCTTGAGGGCGCGGAGCCGGGCTGGGTCGGGCCGCCGGTCCGGTCCGGTCGGGGCCCGGCAGCGGCGCTCCCCGGCCGCATGACCCACACGTGCGATGGCCGGTCTGCCAATGCCTTTATTGCGAAGCCATTTACCCCAAACTGTGCGGACATTTTAGCCTCACTCCGCACATCCGGTCCTCGCCTCCCTCTCCCTCCCCGCCACCTCTCTGCAGCGAAGGGGAGACCCGTGTGTTACCGATACATTTACAAACGTTTAATAATCACAGCGCACGGGATTTCAGATCCCCGGCTTCAATATTAAACACACACACACAAAACATGGAGTTCATTGTCTGCGGTAGATTTTTTCTTTTTTTTTTTTACACGCTGAATGGCGGATTACATCCGAGCAGGTCCGGCGGCCGCAGTGCTGTCGAAAGCGGCAAAGTTACAGAACCAGACCAGATGCTTTCGGTCTTTTTTTTCCCTTTCTTTTTGCAGGACACACACGCTCACGCCATCCCCCCCTCCCAAAAAAAACCCACTACAATTGCGAGACTCAGACTTCCTGACAGATCGAGCGCCTCTTTATTTCTGTCATTTCAGCACAAGCAGAGGCGGAGTTACTCGCCATCTCCCCGCACCCGGTCTGAACCGGTTCGGGCGATGCGCGGCCCCGCGACTATCAGCCCCCCCCCCTCCGCCTCTTCCTCCATTCTCTCGTGACACACTGACACACAGAAGCCGCGCGTCCCCGCCGCGCTTCACTCCTCCCGGCCGGCGTCCTCGCCCAGCCATTGGCTCCGGGCGCTGCGCGAGCCCCCGCGGCCTTCATTATCGCGATTGGTCGAGCGGGGGGCTTGCGGACCCCGTGTGTGTGGGTTCCGATTGGCCCAGGCCGGGCCGGAGCAACGCCCCCTATTGGATATTCATGAGTGTTGTGGGCCGGCGGGAGGGGGGGATGTAGTAAACCGAGAGCGCGCCTGAAAGAAAAGCGCAGGAGCCGCGGCAAACGGGCATCATTTTTTTTTTTGGATTTCAGCACCGAGACCCGCGGAAAGCAGGCAGCTCAGGCACGGAGGGAAGGATTCGTTAGCGTCCACATCAGCCTCCATTTTCTTGCCTTTTCGGAGCCTGGGGGAGGCTGCCGGTTTGCCCGACACGTCCATGATTTTGTGAGGGGCCCCCGACGGGCGGCACGTCCAGGCTTTGTCTGCCCTGAGAGCGGCGGCACCGCGGCGGCTCGGGTCCGGCACGGCAGCCCAGGCTCCCTGCCCCGCGGGGGTTCAGACCGACGGCTCGCACTGCCCTGCGGCGGGATCCTGGACCGGACTGACCGGGACACACGGCGGACCGAGCCGAGCAGAGGAGCCTGACCGCTCGCTTCGCACCCCGTCGCCCCGGGCGCGTTGAGCCCGCAGCCCGCCGCCGCCGCCCCTTGTGCTGCTCCCGCCCCGGGGGCATTCCCGGCGCCCCCCGACCCCGGATCCCGCCCGCCCCGCGACCCGCTCAGCGCTCCCCGAGCCCCGGAGGTGCCCCCGCCGCCATGTGCTCCCGGGTGTGGTTCGTGACGGACCGGCGCATCAGCCAGGAGTACCCGCAGGTCCAGATCCTGCGGGCGCTGAAGCAGCGCTGCGCCGAGGAGGAGGTGGAGTTCCGCTCGCTGCTCATGGACCAGATCGTGCTGACCATCACCGACGGACAGCTGGGTAGGCTGGGGGCGCCCGGGGCGCGGATGCGGGGGGCGGGGGGCGGCCGGCCGGCCGGTGCGGGTCACCGGCGCGCACAGTGGTTATTGTTTGTCCTGCCTGTGGCCGGGAGGGAGAGGGGGGTGGTGGTGGTGATGTTGGTGGGGGATGCTTTTAAATGTCACGGCATCGAGCCGCCCCGTGTCCGGCTTTGTCTCGGCGGCCAGCCTGCGTGCGCTGGTCCGGTGGCCGCAGTGTCGGCGCTCGGGGATGGAGGACGGGGGAGGGCCGGGGCGGCGGGTAGCGGGCACTCGGACACACAAAAGACGGGCAGCAGCCCTCGACCCCCTGCGGACACCGGACCCGGGGTGGGGGTGGGTGGGCTTCGGGGTCTTTGCGTCGCTCTCCGGTCCAGTCGGTTTCAATGTCGTTTGCGCCCCGGCGACAGAGTGGCGGGTAAAAAGATTAATGACCGGAGAGAAGGGGGATTTGCGCTGACGCGGCTCGGTCATTGTGTCTTGTGACATAAACGAGACCGAAGCGTGTGGGACGGGCGGGCTGTGTGCGCGGCTGGCCGGCTGCCGCAGGCTTGATCGCAGCGGCCCCCCTGCAGTACGGCTGGAAGCCATCGGCGGTGTTTCTCGGGAACACGACCACGCGTGAAAGCGATAATGGGCTCCTGCTGACCACATGCGCTGGGTATCCAGGGCTCCGCTTCCAGCAGGAGCTGCTGTGCATTTGAAAGGGACCCCTCCCCCCCCCCCCCAGCCTGCCTTCATGAATAAAGCATCGTTCCTCTGCTCCTCTTTCAACCGGAGTCTGGATCTTACTGGTTCTGCCCAACCCAGACTGGACTGCAGCTCTGTTCTCCTCTGATAACAGCCCCACCTCCCTGCGTGCGTCTACCCCCCCCGACTCCCGACTCCCAGCTCCTCTCCAGGTGGAGCAGAGCGAGCGCTGGGATCCCTGAGCTAGTGGGAAGCAGGACACTGAGGGTCCTGCCCGTCTCCCAGCCTCCACAGGCCTCCTTATCAGCTCCAGGGCTCGCCCGCCCCGGACTGGGCACGCCTCTCTACAACCCCCCACCTCCACACTGCCCCTGGACACCATGCTGCTGGTTTACTGCATTGCTCCCAGCGGTGTGCGGTGACCTTCACAGTCCTGGGCTTCCTCGTTCCCAGACCCTAGGGGGCTGAGTGTGGGGGCACCCCCATGGGCGGGGGGGTGTCACCAGCTGGGTGCCACTGCAGTGCTGTGGCTGTTCTTAAATACCCCCCCTGCCAGACTCCCAGTTACCGCAAGAGCTGTTGTCCAGACCAGGGTATCGGGGGACAGAGCAGCAGTCTTTGAGCAGCAGTTTGCGATGCTCTCAGGACTGAATCCTACACGAGCGTCTGGACCGTTAGCTTGATCTCGATAACAGCTGCCTCATCTGGGGTCTGTAAGACCCGCCAGAGCCCCGCGAATCCACTCGCGTTCGTTTCCTTCACCCGCGTCTTAGGCTGCAGGCCTCAGTCTGAGAGGGGCTGGGCTGGAGATCGGGCGCCAGCTGGTTAGTGATCATTCCGCGTGTGTGAGGCAGCCGCGGGGACGTGCGGGTGTGCGATCAGGCTGCGGGGTGGGCGCGGGGAATCTCGGCGGGGCGCAGCGCAGTTGTGGAACAGCCCTGATTGTGCGGTGTGTGTGTGGGGGGGGGTTGATCGAACCCTGTCCCCACTGCGGCTTCAGGCTGCACTGCAGATCGGCGAGCAGGCTGCCGCCAGTCCCAGCAGGAGCAGGACTGGACGTCTCCGATTCTCATTCGGGTTGCTCGGCGCCGTTCTGGGCCACACCAGCATCCCTCCCTCATTGCGTTGCTCAGGTGTGTGAATTCAGTCCACCGGGACTGGTGGGAAAGAGGGCAGCCGTGCAGATACAAAGGATTCTCACAGGCAGTTTAAAGTCCCATTGAAATCTGCAGGGCTTTTGCTTGCCGTCCTAAAACACTGTGCCATGAACTGGCGTTGGTGCGCTGGGGTCCAGGTTGCCCTGTTGAGATTGAGCTGGTGCTGCAGGTTAGATCCTGTCTGTGGGTGCTGGGGGGGCTCGCTCGTGGGGGGGCGCTGCAGTTCGTGTTCAGGAATGATCGCTTGGAATGACAATCTGGAGATGACACAGTGGGCAAAAGAAATGATGCTTTAACTGTAATTATCCGTGCTGTGTGCACACCTTCAAGAGTGCATGTGGCCATGGGCATGGAGTTTCTGTTGTCTGCAAGCTCATTGGAGCTGCTGGCCAAGGGGAGAGCCTATGCTAGCTTTAAATGATCTTTTTATTGTGGGGCCACTGACGCCCTCTGCAATGGAGCCTTGTGTTGGGTACAGTGCTGTGATGGGATGGCTTGGGCTTCTCCCCAGTAGCCTGCAAACCCTTCTCTGCTGTGCGACCGGTCTTGCGCCTGAAGGGGAGTCTGTTCAGTGGCCTGTGCTGTGGCGTTAGTGGGAGTGCCGGTGTGGGCTTTAAGAGGGGGCCGCCAACAGGCAAGCCCACGATCCCGGGACCCTGACTCTAGCATCATCACTAGGGGGCGAGGAGTCAATGTGCTCGACGCTGGAATGAATCGTGTGTAAACATCGTGTACCTAAAATTGAGACCGATGTCTATCTGAGCCGAAGGACACCGATATGAGTAAATTGTTATGGCGTGCGCCTGAGGTGGGGACTCAGGGTGCGATCCGGGAGAGAAGAGATCCCAGCTGCTGGGCGAACAGGTGGTGGAGCTGGGGAGCCGGCAAACAGCACACAGGGAATCGCCCAGAGCTGTGTGTGGCCGAGTCCGGAGGGAGCAGGGATCACACACTCTGGGAGCAGGGAGCAGGCCCGAGAGCCGAGGAGACACGCACACAGGCAGGAGTGGTGCTGGGGCTAGCCAGGGAGTCCAAAGAGAGGTGCTGGCGAACACAGTCCAAACCACGCGAGACACAGCAGCAGACAAAGCCCCACACAGTAACAGTGCTGCTGATCCTTCATGGATCACGGCACACGGATAGCGGGTTGCTCAGGGAAAAAAAACGTCAGCAGCCTTTTTATATTTGGGGTACAGACAAAAAAAATGTGCAAGGGACTTACCAGCCATTAGGTTGGATTGATGTGCCACACGAAATGAAGTGTGAATTACAGCTGTGAACATGCCCGGCAGGTTTATTTTGAACAGGAGACGAAACAGGCCTTCCCTTCACAAATGAGATTGTTTCGTCCCTTGTGACGAAGGGGATTAGTGACACAGCAGCCTGCTGCCTGGGTTAGCCACAGATCTGTCGGTTTTCTCATTCCTGAGCATGTAAAAGCCTCGCTATACGGTTACTGCTTCCTAATGTGGCCTGCACTGTATTTTTGCACAAGTGGGCTTTTATTCTTGCATGGACCTAAGAGAACAATGTGCTGACTAATTTCTTCGCAGCTTTAGAGGCACAAAGTGTCATCTGCGCTGATCACAAACGCAGTGATGTGTGGAATACGAATCGCACCCTAAGCAAGTCGTTTTCTCTTCATTTGCATCCAGATACAAATTTAAATTAAATAAATAATTCTTTTTCCCCCACTTTGAACACATTCAACAAATACATAAATATGACATTTGGGAACGCTGGTGGGAAATTGGAATACAATTAGATCATCTCTTCATACTCAGAGGCTGAGATTGAAAAATCTTCATCCTTTGGGAAACAAGTACTGATCATTAATTACAGTGAATGTTCATGGCTGCTAATTACTGTTCATTTTTGTTTAAAAGACCGGAGTTAAAATGGGAAAAAAAAATTAAAACCTCGAGCCTTTAAGTATAATGTATTTCAGCACAGGCAAATATTTTATTAGGGTGTGTGCTGAAAACCTTTCTTTGTCATAAGACTTAAAATAATCTTTTCAGAACATGTGGGTGTTAATGCGAATTGCAAACTAGTTTGAGCTTTTGTACGAAACAGGAGTCGTTGGCAAAATAAGACTGCCCAGGACGTCCTTGAGCTCTGTGCTGTGTTCCCAGTAGGATCAGTCCGATTCAAAGTTACACGAGCGCCCTCTTCTCCAACTTCCAGTTTATAATAATAATAATAATAATAAT